CATGGCTCCCCTGACAACTCCCCTCCTGTCCTGGGCAGCACCCTTCAGCTGAATTTTACCTACCTCCCCCTCTCCCCATTTTACCATTTCTCTCCCCATTTTTAGGTGTAATTTCAGCCATTTGGCCTTAGCTCTCCCTCCTGAGCCTACACCCATCACTGCTGAGGTGTTTGTGGTTAGAGAGGTCTGAGGAAGGAGGAGACACCACACGCCAGGAAAGGTCTCTGAGCATCCCTTCCCGTGTGAAGCTGCAATAGTTATTTTGTGTCTCTAACAAATGTTTGTGCCCAAATAAACAGATGAAAGCGTAGCAAACACTCAAATTTATGCATCTTTTCCTTTTCCCAGCCAGTCTCCAGCACCCACCATGGATTACCTCTCCCAGCCTGGATTCCTCAGCGTCATTGCTGGAGTGGCGTGCGGCGTCTGCCTGGGCTGGGGCATCCGTGGGAGATTCCTCAGACACCCCAGAGGTGGAATGACAGCACCTGCCAAGAGTTTGGGAAGTGAAGTTGACATCATGGGAGAGTCTGGGGAGTTCAAGATGGTCCTGGTGGTTCGCAACGACTTGAAGATGGGGAAGGGGAAGGTGGCGGCACAGTGTGCCCACGCTGCTGTCTCTGCCTACAAGCAAGTTCAGAGGAGGAATCCTGACCTCCTGAAGCAGTGGGAATACTGTGGACAGCCTAAGGTGGTCCTCAAAGCTGCTGATGAAGAGACTCTGGTCCAGCTCCTGGCGGAGGCGAAGCGCCTGGGGCTGACTGTGAGCTTGATACAGGACGCAGGTCGGACCCAGATCGCTCCAGGCTCTAGGACAGTCCTTGGGATTGGACCAGGACCAGCTGATATAGTAGATAAAGTTTCTGGTCACCTTAAACTCTTCTAAACTAGGACCAAACCAAAAAAATAAAATCAGAATATACTGATGTACATCAGTACTGAAGGGATAAAACCCAGGATTGGGGATTTTTCCATATGTTCTCTCAGTATAAATAAAATAAGCAGGTTTTGTAAGAGATTTGAATTTGTAAATCATGAGTTGTGTTGTGTTCTAAAAGGGGAAAGAAAATGCTAGGAAAAATAGAGCTGGGAAAGTTTCACTTTCAAGAGTTTTCACTTATAAGAATATTTACAACTTGTGCTGTTGGTGGAGGGTTTTGCATGTTGGTTCACAGCAAAGTTCAAGTGAGTTTAGCCCATGCACCAAAAATGACAGGTTTCTCCTTTTTTGCCTGCTTTTTCAAAGGATAAATTCCTTAACTCAGAGAAGAAGCTGCTGAAGGAGTTAAAATTGCCCCAGAGAGCTGGGGGAAGTGTAGCCAACTTCCTGCCCAGTTTCTGGTGAAGTGACTGATGCAAGAGCTTGGAACTGGTATGAGGTTGACCAAGTTCAACTGGATCTGCAGCCCAGACCTTCAGAGCCAGGTGTGGGGAGCAGCTGTGAGCTGAGCTCCCTCTGGATGGCTCTGTGGAGTCTGGGAGTTACCTCCATACACACAGCTTGTCACACAGGGACAAAAATCCCATTTTATTTGGGATGAACAGGCTCTCCTGGGTTTAAGGAAGCACAGTCAGAGATGCTCCTGGTCAGTTCACAGCACACTGATCACCGCTCAAGTGAATTCTGCCCAGACAGCTCCACTGTGGCTCAAACACTGTACAAGGCAAATTCCCTGCACTTCATGAGGTGGAATTCCTAAGAGTCAGTTTGCTATCAAAGCTAGATGTGAGAATTCTGGTGCTCAGCACCTTTTACAGCCACTCAGGCATGTCTTCCATGTGAAATAGTTTGTAAGAGGGACCAGAAGGATTTGTCTCCATCAGTCAGCTTTACAGACCCAGAGGGGAAGTCAGAGGGGCTGAAATACAAGCACAACAAACACAGAATGGGGAAGTTTTTGTACACCATTGCTTAGCCATAATCCTCCCCCAGAGATGACATTGCTACTTGTGCTCCTCCACACTCTGGAGCACCTGCAGCCACAGAGAGCCTGGGGCAGGTGATTCCTAACACTCACCACTCCCCAGGGAACTGCTGTAGTGCTCAGCCCCAGATCACACAGTGGAGCAGGGAAAAGGATTTGGCCTCAGAGCTGAGTCAGAAGCTTCTAGAGCTCTCAGAGCTGTGGCCAGTGCTGCAGGACTCGTTACACTCAATTATGACAGTATTCATAGATAAACATTTAAGTCAATTTTATTTGAAGCTAAATATGTTTAAGGCAACTTACATACCTAGAACATGATCTCAATTTAACTGACACACCCTACTACAATCCTAATGTATCATCTGGTCAAAGATGCTGGAGTTGACCACACAGTGCAGCCAACTAGTGAAAAGTGCTATTTTCTTCTCTCTGGCATAATCTCTCTATAGAAAAAGCATTACATATTTTCCTGTATTGCCCCCTCAGTGCAAGACCCACTGCTGGTCCCATTTGCTGCTCCTCTACTGGCCCCTCAGCCCCTGGCTGTACACACTACCAGCACTGGAATACTTGGTTTGAGCTCAAAGGTCCTTGTTGAAGACAGTAAAGTGAAGCTACCACTATGCAGCATGTCCACAGTCCAGTAATTTATTTTTCAATTGAGTAATTTCAAATTGCACAAACAAAACTGAACAGCAATATGCTTTGAATTCTCTCTTCTGTACACTCAAAACAGTGATCTAAAACACCACAATATCCAACATACACAAACCTCAGGGCAGGGTTAGTAAATACACAGATTGGAATCATGGTGCTCTGTTCCTGAATGGAATGTCCCACAAAAGCACAGGATACAGCACAACATAAGGTCATCTGTTACATATGGAGTGAGCAAAAAGACACTAGCATTTTCTATATGCATAACTGGAAAAACCTGCATAGGTTAAGGAGAAAAAAAAACAAAACCCCAAAAACAAACCAACTGGTACTCATCATTTGAAGTCAGGCAAGGTTGTCTGTACGCATTGGAAATTCGTTTAGAGCTATGCAATCCCACCCAGGGAGGATATGCTGATTAGTGTTGTCTCTTTGTCAGCAGTCTTGCAAGGTCAAATACAAGTATCTTGGCTTTAGCTTTCTCCAAATATACAGTGAGACTTAAATGCATTTAGAATAGACAGTACATACCGTAAGCTGCTCACATACAATGAACTTAAGATTCAATATTAGAGTGTAACACTATAGAGTGCAAATCAGAATCTTCACAATAGACTGAATGGTAAGAAGCAGTCCTGCAAAAGCCCACTGGAACAAAAACTTGTTGAAAACTATTCCCCCTGGTAAAGTAAAAGTCTAAATGACATGGAATGTGAAAAAAAAAAAAAAAAAGATATTTAAACAGAAGTGATTCAAATCGTTCGCGCCTAGAAAAAACAGTCCTTCATGAAATAAAGGTTACAAGAACACGAGGCAGAACTCTTGCTTTTCCCTGTTATGAGTTAAAGCGGGGAGGGACGGTGGAGTCTCAGTAAGAAAATGTGCTGCAGCTCACATGCTGTACCCGAAGCCAGGCTGGGGCTGCCCGTACGCGGGCGCGGTGTAGCCATAGCCAAAAGGTGCCTGGGGAGGAACTGCCACGCTGGGTCCTGCTGTCAACATCAGCTGTGGCTGACCTGCAACACACAAGGGGCATGTTCATCCCTCCTGAGCCCAGGCAGTAAAATTCCTGCAATTTCCCCAGAGGTGTTTTCATGTTTAACAAGGCCCTCTTGACCTTAGGAGCCTCACGAAACCTCAGGGCAGAGTATGTGGCTAAAAGTGCTACACTGTGAAGTATATGAAGAGTTCAAGAGTTGGACTTGATGATCCCTTCCAACTTAGGATATTCTCTAAGAAACTCTTACTGGAATAACCTGGATACAAAGGAAATACCCAAGACAGATATAAAGCATGTTGGACAAGATCCAAGTAATGCACCACTTGCTGGAAGTCTGGGATAGCACAGCTCCTGCACATCTTTTCCTTTAGAAAGTTTCCTCAATGATCCAGGACAACCTTAAATCATAGGGTCACCAGGGTTGGAGGAGAACTAGAGATCATCAAGTCCAACCACTAACTGCCACTCTGCTGTGTCCTGCAGCCCACAGCACCACAGTGGTACTTCATCTACTATTCTGGAACACATTCCTTAAGACTTCATTTCACATTCCCATTTCCAAGCACTTCCTTGGGAAAAGCCATGATAGAAATGCTGTTTTAAAAGCAAAACATGTTATCAATAACACATGAACATTACCATAAACAATAGGTTGTGTTTCTGTAGCTTGCTCCTCTTCCTTTCTCAAGGACTCTGATGCATCCAGTTTATCCACCTGGAATTGAGACCAACAATTAGAAAATCTCCTCTACAAGAGGTACTTATTCGTGGCAGAGAAGTGGAAAAGCCTTAGTGGTATGTTAACACCCATCAAGAAAAGGAGACCATTTACAAGTTAAGATCAATTCAAGTAGCAATGTTGGTACTGGTGCAGTCAAGATTGTGTTTCCTGAAAAAACCCCCTCCTTGAGGGATGTGTCACTGCTTTGACAGCTCACTCCAGGCTGGAGCTTTGTACAAAAGGGTCCATACTGGGCTAGAGCTACTTGGACATCAGTAATTAGCCCACTTCAAACCAACAGCCTTTAGGACACAAACTCAGATTTTAGCACAGTCTCACTTGGAGACCTTTGGCTTTGGAGCAATTGCCAAGATAATGCCCAGACCTGGAGAAGTTTCCCTGAAGATAACATTGAGGCAAAGTAATCTGAAGTTGGATTTGTAGACTGCAATAGCATCCGACATGTCACTTGAGCCTCAAGATTTCACTTTCCAAACCCATTCACTCATGCAATTTCAGTTCAAATGCAGAGAATGCATGTGTATAAGACTTGCTTTTTTCCACTCCAGAACTGTGTGGCAGTCAGCCTAAACCCACAGATACTCCAATTGTTCAAGCTTAACACACAGGAACAAGACAAGCCTGGCCAGGTTCACTGCTGCACAGCGAGGGCAATCGTGCTGTTAGCCCACCCCTACAGAAAGGCAAGAGAAGAAACTGATTCTGGAGGCAAATATTGCATGTTGCTAGAACAGATCCAAGGGAACTCAGCATTACTACAGTCTAAGGCAGGCCCTGAAACTCAAACCACAAAAATGAGGTACTGGTATTTTACCTGGGAGACAAGATTTAGAACAAAGTCAGAGACAATCATGCCAATTACTTTTAAAGACAGTAAGGCAACTCACAAACCAGATTCATCTTTCATTTGTGTCCTCAATAAAGGAGTTTGAACACAGATTACCTGCACTTACACAGGGTCAGCATTACTTTATCCAACTACACCAACATCCCCAAGTTGAACAGTTTTTTTTCAGCTTAACTGTGCTACTTGAGCAGGTACATGCAGGCAGCTCTAAGCTGTGAGCTCTTCCCTTCAGTTGTGAGTTACAATGTGTGTTCCATAAACCTGTTATCTGTAGCCTCGATCTGAGGCACAAATCCAGGCAGTGGCAGAAGTCCTGAGCTCGAGTTCACTCATTGACTGGGCTTCCCATGGCAAGCCTGGGTGTTGCCTCACCCCAGGATCTGGCTTGCTGCTGCCAAAGGGCACAGGATCCTATGCCAATGCTTCAAGACTCCTCCCCAGACACCACCGTGCTGAGAACTGCACTGGTTTTAACTCAGACAGCAACACACTGAACACAGAAGCACAAGTTTAGAGATGCAAATCCAAGGAGAATGTGCAGAGTTTGCTACTAAGCAGAGGCATTTGGCTTACACACACTTGGAAAGCCTCCAGCCCAGGACATTCAATGCATTTTTGACCCAGTTTTGATGCCTCCCCTCAGAGCTACACCAATATGGACATTAATAAGTGTAAGTTTGAAACCAGCCTGCAGGATGGTTCTTACACCACTTGC